TGAGCAGCATGGATCAGTGTGAGGACAGAGAGGAGGGAGTCCCTCCCTCTACAAGCTCTCTGTGTGGAGAACAGGAGAACCAGAGCAGAGCTCAGAGGTGAGACCACCATCTCTACCTGTCCATGAGTCTTCTGCATGTCAGAGTCAGCATCACATCACTGCTGCATCTTTATGAACTGGAACCGACCTGGACCTGAACCTGGACCTAAACCTGGGCCTGGACCTGAACCCAGCTGTGTGTCCTTAAAGAGTGACTGGTTCAATGGTCGCTACACTGATTTTAAAGAACATCAACCTCCTGCTGTGAAGTAGTCATAAAATATTGGAACTGACTGTTGTATCAACTCTATTGTTTGTTGTTTCAACTTCATTCCAACAATGAATTCATTCTGAAATGCTGTTAAAAGGTTCATTCTGTCTGAAAGAATTTAAAGTGAATTTTCCGTCCTGGTGTTTTTTCTCTCCTCTATTTACCAGAATCCATCAGAGATCAGATTCCTCTGGACCTGGATCTGAACCCAGCTGTGTGTCCTGAAAGAGCAACCAGTCGATGGAATTTCCTATTACTTTTAAAGGAGAACCACCTCCTGCTGCAGAGCGGTAAGATGTTCTGAACATCAAGTTTTTAGAGGTGCTGGTCTGACAGCAGATCGGCTCCTCAACAAACAGAACAAGTGTCTTCAAGAAGTGACGCTGATGAACTGGAGAGCATCCACAGAGACATTAGAAACAGAACAAGGTGGATCACGACAACAACTCGTTCATTAAAATAACGGCAAATATTCGTTACTGGATATATCTCCAGTTTTATGAGCACACAGAAAACATAATGATAAAGGTTCATGTTAGCTTGTATGTTAGCTGATAGGGTGAATGTTTTATTGCTGATGGAGAAGACAGAGAAATGTTATTTGTTGACTGGTTGCTGTTACTGGGAGATCGAGTGGAGAGGAGAGGTTGAGATATCAGTGAGTTACAGAGTAATCAGAAGGAGAGGATACAGTAAAGATTGTGTGTTTGGACGTAATAATCAGTCCTGGAGTCTGACCTGCTCTGAACGTGGTTACTCTGTTATTCACAATAACAGATGGACATCCATCAGGTCTTCAGTCTCTAACAGAGTATCAGTTTATGTGGACTGTCCTGCTGGAACTCTGTCCTTCTACAGAGTCTCCTCTGGCTCTCTGATCCACCTCCACACCTTCAACACCACATTCACTGAACCTCTGTATCCTGCATTTGGATTTGGGTTCTGGTCAGCTGGGTCCTCAGTGTTTCTGTGTTGAAATTAGTGGTTGTTAAACTGCCTGGTAAGGAATCTGAGGACTGCCTTAAAAGTACTGCATTATGTTCTACACAGACATATTACCTTGTTCTCAAGAATCAACACTTGGAATGGTGCAGGAGTTTAAGAGGCTTTTGGGGAAAGTTGGAGACTTTGGAAACCACCTCTGCTTTAACCTGAGATGCAGACAACACAGACTCAACCCCAAAAGCTCAGGCCTTTAGACAGATCCATTTTACTATTACCGCACTAAAGGACCGCAGTGAGTAGACCCTTCTGAAACTGACAGTACATCTACCGATGCAGTCACAGACAAAGTTATTAAGGTTGTTGAAAAGGCAGTGTGGACACCCAAAATGGTAAATTCAAAACATTATAGTTAAGAACAAATGACTTTGAGAACCCAGAATCCAACCAGACAGACAAAACACCACAGTAGTAGATATTCAAGACAACTGAATCGGAGAAGAACGTCTTAGCCAAAGGACTCAACTTTCTCACATCTCCATAACACTTACCAGTAGTTAACCTCATTACAGTGACAACATCAGCCTTAAGGAACAACGATCTTGATCTCGTAGCAGCAAAAAATGACTCAGTTGAAGGTTTCAACACCTCCTTCCAACTAACAATCATACATAATAACATAATCCCTGAGTAAAGATCAATGTATCACTCAAAGGGAATGAGAAACATCAAATAGACAATAATAGTTTACAACATCTAAAAACGGAGAAAGACAATGACTGGTCATCGTATTTGAGCTTTACCCTGAAGACATGAATGTATGAACTGCCGAAGATGCGCAAGGAAAGTGTTCTACTCAAGATCTTTAGCAGCATTAACTCAGTCACCTATAACACTGCAGAACACCTGGTCAACATCTTAGTACCTCTGGTTGGAAATACTTCACATCACAACAAAATGTGACTATTTTGGCAACAAGGTCCTGAAAGTGAAACTGGCTCCAGACAAAACCATAGTCTAATTTGACATCACCTCACATTTCACTTGTTTTCCTACATCGAAGGCCGTGGAGACTGCTAGCAAAGCAGTGTAAACACCAGAACCAACGTTACCTCCAGTCAGATATTCGCCCTGCTGGACCTCTGCCTGAACACTACGTACTTCAATAGAAATAGGGTTTCTACAGACAAAAACTTGACTGTGCCATGAAGTGTCACCCATTGTGGCTTGTCTTTACATGGAGGAGATGGAAAGCATGGTGCTGAGGAACCAGCTACTGGTTCAGATATGTGGATGACCCTTGGGTCAGAATCAAAACCCAAGAAGTAGAAACTTCTCATAACCAATCAAGTCGGTGAACAGCAACATGAAGTTCACAAAGATGTTAGAAAGAATAAATTGCCATTTTGTGGACAACGCTTTGTCCAAATTCTTGATACAGCAGACATATGTTTGAGAGAGGTCTGAAGGAAGCCAGCTATGTAAACCTGCAGCAGCCATCTTTACCACTTATTAGGTACTTACAATGCAGCCCTGAGATTCCTCCATGGCAGTTTCATAGCCATTCACACAGTGGAGGTTCTAGACAAATGTTGCTGGTGGGGCCAGTGTTTAATTTACAGGGGCACATTAAAAAAATGAAAACAATGACATTTAAGCACTAAACACTTTTATTTACTTTATATTAAAATTATACAAATGTTTTTTTGTTATTTTTTTTAAACAAAAATAGATAAACTGAAACAATTAAATTTAAATTAAAAACAACTGAATTTCCCTTCTGGGATAAATAAAGTATTTTTCATTTCATTTCATTCATTTCATTAGGTTATCAGGGAATATGTAACATAACAGGGACCCCCCAGCAAAGGTTCCACAAAACTGAGAGCTGTAAATTTGTGCAATTATAACAATAAACATAACAATAAAATAAAATATATAGTGGATATTATATCTTACTAATACAATAATATATGTACATTTAACCTACAACCACTGCTGCACCACTAACCCTGCTACACACACATCTCATTTAACAAGTAACATTAACCATCCATACTTAGCACAGGTGGATACTGTTAATTACTTTACTCATCACTGGTCCAATAAAACAATCCTGCATTATGTCGTGTGTTCGCGGAGGTGGTGACATCATCAAGTACGCTGATGTTCCAATTGCACATGAACCACAGTCTAAACGTTGCTGTAGCTCCGTCAGCCACCAGAGGGCGTCAGTGTCTTCATAACGAGCCTTCAGTTTGTTGCTGCTGAGGTCATGGAGGGTCACACAGCATCACACTGACCTGTGTTTGTAGTTGTTTTCGTAATCATGATTTAGTGGTGTTAAAGGTGTTTGTTCTCTGTTCAGGTGACGCTTCCAGTTAACTCTATCCATCCATTATCTATAAACCGCTTAATCCTCACTAGGGTCGTGGTGGGCTGGAGTCTATCCCAGCTGACTTAGGGCGAAGGCAGGGGACACCCTGGACAGGTCGCCAGTCAATCGCAGGGCTACATTTGGGGACAGACAACTAAGCACACTCACATTCACACCTATGGACAATTTAGAATTACCAATTAAACTCAGCATGTTTTTGGACTGTGTGGGAGGAAGCTGGAGAACCCAGAGAGAACCCACGCTGCACGGGGAGAACATAGAGTCCACGCAGAAAGATCCCGGGTGTCCTCTCCGGGACGCGAACCGGTGACCTTCTTGCTGCGAGGCAACGGTGCTACCCACCGAGCCACCTCCAGTTAACTCATGTTGATTAATTGCTAATATACAGAGAGAGTCAGTTACTGCACAACATAAAGCGTCTCTTCTCAAGGAAAAGTAGAAATAAATACATTTCCCCCCAGAAATATATAAAACATGTAAAATCACGAGTAAAAGACTTTCCTGCTTCAGTGTGTTTTTTAACAAAAGGTTTTACAGTTTTTACAAAACACGTAAAGCTTTTGTTTAACGCTCTGCGTGGCCATAAAGACAGATAATTAAATGCTATGTGTAACTGAAAAAAAAGTGATTTTAGTTTAAAATTGTGATGTAAAAGTCAGAATTATGATGTAATGAGTGAAAATTACGATATTAAATTCAAATAATTGCTCACAGTTTTGACTTACTAAATCAAAATGCTCAACGTATGAAGTATTGTAATTTTTTTGTAATGTTTTTGTCATGACTGACTTCTAATTTGTTTTGTGTTTGAGGACTGCACAGCCAGAAGTGGCATCATTTAACGTTTTCGTTGTGTTTATTGCGTTGATTTGGGTTTGAGCTGCTTTACAATCCAGATAAAGTCAGATACTTCTCCTGGATTTGGTGATAATCATAACAGAACAGCGTCTATTTGTCAGCTTGTTTTGGCGTTTGTTCGTCTCTTTAGGGATGAGAAACTATTCAGAAACGACAACATCTGCGCCGCCAAAATTCGATAAACGTAAAAGAGGAGGCAGAACAGGAGATTTAAGCTCGTTTTCTCTCGTTCGGCTTTGGATGGAGCCGCTATCGTGTCATATTTTGTCAAATTACTCCCAATAAACTTTCCCACTTGTTTAGTCCGGTTTGTGCTCCGGCGGAGGCGATCCTTCGCCGCTGCTGGCAAACTTGGCCCCGACGTTCACTGTAAATTGCTCAGTGGGTTGTTTTTAATGGGATTATAATGACAGTTATGGTTTGCAAGAATTGATGTTTGTGACTTTTATGAGGTGTGAGTGGAGGGGCGGGACCAGGCGGCTCATAAAGGCTGCAGGAATGTTAATTGGTCGAGGCCACTGCTGCCCTCTTTGTTCTGCTGCTCACACTGGGCTTCTGTTGCCCCGTTAAAGGCCAAAGAACTGATTTAAAATCTGTGACTTTAACCCCTCCACCTCCCCCGACACACACACATGTATGTACACAAACTTGCCCCCCCTGCTCCCATTCTTTCTTCCGAGGTTTTCCTTCCCACTCCTGCAGAAAATGGAGCCCTTTGCCTCCCTCATTTCCTCCATGTTGCTTAATCAGGTGGTTGGCGCTGCCCCCCACCCCACCCGCTGGGTTTGATCCAGTGTTGGGGGAGTAATTTTATCACACTTTTCCTCCTGTGGCCACACTGGGAGGTTTCTGAAAAACCAAAAAGGAGGATTTGTGTCGGCGACTCATTTTTCGTTCTTTGGAAATGTTGAGTAAAACCATTTATTTTTCTTATCTTAGTTTGCAGTGACTCTGGTTTTAAACCTCCGGTCCGTGGCGAGACGCTAATAACACAAGTTTACAACAGTTTTCAGCATTTTTAATCAATAAGTGGTGAAGTTTTAACACTAATTAAACACAGTGGACATTCGTTCAGTGCTGATTGTTGCTGTTTTAGTCAATATAAAGGTTCATTACACCCAAAATACTACCTTCTATTCAAGTACTTCGAGTTTTAAAGGTTTATTCTATGCAAATAGTACTTTTCTAACTAGCAAGGTATGGTTTTAAAGGTTCATTCTACCAAAAATCCTACTCTTTGGTCAAGTACTTCTAGTTCTAAAGGTTTATTGCATCCAAAATATTAATTTCTGTCCAAGTACTTGTTGCTTTAAAGGTTTACTCAACATAAATAGAACTTTTCTAACTAACAAGTTATGGTTTTTGTATCTGTCTAAGAGACAGGTTGTGGTGTGTGTTTAATTTGTGTTTGATTGTCAATTCATTGTTTTACTGTTCATAGATAATTAAAAACTGAGATAAAAAATGTAATAAGGTGAAAACGGTACAACTGTAACAGATTGTTTAAAAAATAGGTCGCTTTAAAATCCAGTTTAGTTAAAAAGTTAGGTACGTTGTATCAGAATTGTATTTTGACAAGTCAGCTCACATGACTAACTTTTAGTAAGATCAAGAGAGCAGCATTGTGGGTCAGAATCGGCATGAGCAGGCAACAGAGACACTTAATGCAAGTTATCGCCATTCTGCATGTGGTTTAAGAAGCACAAACGGTAATTATCTTTGGTTTA